ATAATTATATATCTATCACACCCCAGGAGGCATTCTATGACATGCTCTTATGCTGTAGCAATTACCAGAATCAAGACCCCTCTCAGGAAGCACTAGGCCACGCGGGAAGCCTCACTGAACTCAGTGACAGAGTTCTAGGACTATTTGTACTTAGTCACTTGTCAACTAGCCAGCTACGGGGATCTTCTGAAAGCTATTTTTAAAAACTCTCTTGGGAAATATAGGAAGTCTGGTGTATTTCAAGGGCCTGAGGGTAGTATAAATGGTTAACCATACAGCTACCAACCAATTCATTTAACGTTTAAGTCCACCCAGAGACACTTAAGAAGAAAGACTGGTTATCAACTTCTGAAAAAATTACCTACTTAAAACCTTATGGAATCGTTTCCCTCTGGCGTGTCTGATCAACTCAACAACTGGTTACTAGCTGGCTTTATACTGTTACCCACTCATAAGGAGTCTCACATACTTCTGTTTGCTGTTTCCATTCAGGCAAGACAAGGGGTCAATGTGGTCTGTTGTGCATACTCCACCATCACAGCCCATTAAAAAAGCCCTAAAATAAAATTAAATCAGAGATATCAGGGTACTATAATGGTGAGTAGTAAAGAGAACCTGGAGAAGAGGAAACAGAAAAGACACGCGGGAGTTGAAACGGAAGTTTGGAAGTGAGAGCACTGGGAAGGGAGATAATTAAGAAGTATGAAGTCGAACACAACTACAGGGGTGCTTGTTCTCCTTACTTTCTCCATGGAAGTATGTCATTCATCAGAGCATTAGGGGAAGGAAAGAAACCACTTACCCATCCTGAAGATGTCGATCAAGTCACCCGTGGGCTCAGAGCAAGCCGCTCCTCTGCCTGGTAACAAGGAGACACAGCTGTTACTGATTCCGCTGGAATGAGGTCATTACCTGGATCATTCAGGGCGTTAAGGTTATCCATATGCAATTAGAATATCCAGGCATAATTTGCATAGGAGTTAAGAGGAATAGATGGGTTTCATTAATTGTCCCAGTGTAAAATTTTATTTGGAGTTTGTCCACATTAAGTTACGTAGAGAACCTTCAGTTCTGCCTGTGGGCCAGCTAGTAGTAGAAACGTCATCAGTCAGTGTTCCCCCAAGAGACTATGGTTCCAGGAGCTGGTCGAAAATGAGAGTATAGATACATAATTTCACACTGACTTCTTCTCAGAGATATTTTCTGAGTGTGGCACAGCGTCTCATGTTCTGGATTGTTAATCCATCAGGATTAGCCATTGAAGACACTTACTGGCCTGGTACAGGGTAAGTGTGGGAAAGAGCAATTAAATGTGTCTGAACCAGCCCCTTTTTCCCTCAGATACATTTGGGGGAAATATATGAAAGCATTTAGAAGGCAAACTTATAATAAAGGATAATTATGTTAAGAGCAAATAAAAAATTCAGTGATCACTTGTATTTTAGCAAGGTCATTCTTAATTCTCCTCTAATCAGAATTGTTGTTATGTGCCGTAGAGTCCCTTGTGACTCATAGCAACTCTATGTACAATAGCCCTGAAACCTGCACTATCCTGTACCAACTTTACTGCCTCTGACACACTTACCCTCATTACCCCAGTAACCGTATCAATCCATCTCATCGATGGTCTCCCTCTCTTTCTCCATCCCTCCACCCTTGCAAATACAGTGTCCCTCTCCAAGCCTGGTCCTTCCTTGCAAAATGCCCAAAATATGTCAGACGAAGCCTTAGAATGCTTGCCTCCAAGGAGCAGCTTTGAGTCCACCTCTCTAGGACTGACCTTTTTGTTCTCCTGGCAGTCCATGGTATATTCAACACTCTTATACAGCACCACAAGTCAAAGACATCAATTCTTCTTCTGTCATCCCTAGTCATTGTCCAGCTCTCTAATGAATAGCAAGCAATTATGAAGACTATGGCCTGGATCAGGCATACCGTAGTCTCCAGACTGAAATTGTTGTTCTTCAGTACTCTAGAGAGGTCCCTGACACAGACTTTCCAATTGCAATACATCTTTTAATTTCCTGGCTGCTGGTACCAAGAATTTTGATTGTGGAGCCAAACAAACTAAAGCTGTTAACAATCTCAGTCTCTTCACCATCTATCATATTGATTCTTATAGGCCCAGTGGTGAGAATCTTTGTTTTCTTGATGTTGAGGTTCAGTCCCTATCAAAGGCTACAGTCCTTGATCTTCTGAATCTTGCTAAGTGCTTCAGGTCCTCCTCAGTTTCAGCACCCAGGGTTGTGTCATCTGCATAATGCAGTATGTTAACGAATCTTCTTCTAATCCTGATGCCACATTCCTTCTCATACAGCGAAGACTACCTGATGATCAGTTCTGCATATAGATTGAAAAGGTATGGAGACAGAATACATCCCTGGTGTACATCCTTCCTGATTTTTAATCATGCAGTTTCTCCTTGTTCTGTTCTGACGACTGCCTCCTGGTCCAAGTATAAGTTTCACATAAGCACAATCAAATGTTCTGGGATTCCCATTCTTCTCAGAGTCAGTCACACTTTGTTGTGATCCACACGGTCAAATACCTTTGCATAATCAATGAAACACAGGTAGACTTTCCTCTGGTACTCTCTGTTTTCAGCCAAGCTCCATCTAACATTAGCTATAATAAATATCCCTAGTATCATGGCCTCTTCTAAACTAAGCCTGCACATCTGGCAGTTCTCTGTTGGTGTACTGCTCCAGTCATTTTTTAATAATTTTTAGCAGAATCTTGCTTGCATGTGATTTTGATATTGTTTGATAATTTCTGCACTCTGTCAGGTCAGCTTTCTTTGGAATAAGAAAAATATAGATCTCTTCCAGTCAGTTGGCCGGGTGGTTGTCCTCTAGTTTTCTTGACATAACTTAGTGAATGCATTCAGGGTAGTGTCTGTTTGTTGAAATATGTCAATTGAAATTCTTTCAATTCCTGAAGCCTTGTTTTGCCAAGTCTTTCAGAGAAACTTGAACTTCCTCCTTCATCACCACAGCTCATACATTGTTTCATTAAATTCTTCTGTGTCAGCCAAATCCTTTTGATACAGTGACTCTGTATATTTCTTTCATGTTCTTTTAATGCTTCTTGGATAATTTAGTATTATGCCCAAAGCATTTTTAGAAATTGGAAAATTACCAAAGATAGACCCTAGATAAATACCACCATTTTGTAGCTGCTAAGTTCCCAATGATGACCTTCCAGTTAGCATTTATGCACTTAATCACTGCACAGTCAGAATTCTCTAATTTAAAAACAAAACAAAACAAAACAAAAACCAACAAGAAAGAAACAAAACAAACCTACTACCATTGACTCAGTTCTGAGTCTAGCAATACCACAGGTCAGAGGAGTATTCCCCCTTAAGGTTCTCAAGCTTACCATCTTTAAAGATTACCACCAACTTTCTTTTGTATATTGGCTGGTGGATTTTTAAACCACTGACCTTTTGGTTAGTAGTCAGGCACTTAATTACTGTGTCACTCTTTCGGGCTGAGTCGAAACTCATTGCTGTTGAGGTGAACTGTCTCATAGCTGACTCTTCATGGGGTTTCTGAGACTGTAAATTGCACAGGAACTTCACCTGAGCCACTGCTAGATTTGAACTGTCAGAGAGGCACAGCCTTCGGGTTAGTCGTGCAGCTCCCTATGGACTAGGCCTCCAGAACTGTCTATAAAACTCTGGGTTATTTTTTTGTTATGTACTTTCAAGTCAGTTCCAATTAATAAAGACATAGAGGACAAACATTCCCATAGACTTTTTTAATCTATAACTTTTTTCTTGTGTGTTTTTTTTAATCTATAACTTTTTTCTTGGTTTTTTTTTTTCTTTTTTTAAAATCTGAAACTTTTAAAGAGCAGATTTCCAGATATTTTCTTCCTCACAGTAGCTGGTGAGTTCAGATCATCAGCCTTTCTGCTAACAGGTAAGCACTTAACAATTGTGCCATCAGATCTCCTTCAGAGTTATTTGTTGTTATGTGCTGTTGAGTTGCTTTCAACTCAAGAAACCCTGTGCACAATAGCTCTGAATTCTGTCCTGTCTTAAGCCAATCTCATTGACTCCAGCACACATACACACATTATCTCAGTTACTTTGTCAATACATCTCATCTAGAGTCTTCTGTCCTGTCTCTCCATTTTCCAAGCATTATATCCTTATCTAAGGACTACTCCCTCTTAGCAACATGCCCGAAGTATGTGAAATGAAGTCTCAAATCCTTGCCTCAAAGGAGAAACTTTATTTCACCGTCTTCAAGACAGATATTTTTGTTTTCTTGGAGGTCCATGGTATGTTCAATACTCTTTTCCAGCACAACTCAAAGGGATTGAGTCTTCTTCTATCATCCGTAGTCATTGTCCAGCTCTCTGATGCACAGCAAGTATTTGTTAAGGCCATGAACTGAATCAGGTGCACCTTAGTCTCTAGACTGACGTCATTCCTGTATAGCATTCTGGACAGGCCCCTGAAAGCAGATTTTTCTAATGAAATTCATCTTTTGATTTTTTGACTGCTGGTGGCAAGAGTGTTGATTGAGGAACAAAACAAACTCAATCTTGTCTTCATCTATCATGGTGCTGTCAACTGGCCCAGTGGTGAGAATCTTTGTACTTTTTTATGGTGAGCTTCAATCCATATTGAAGACTGTTGTTGTTGTTATGGTTGTCGAGTTGCTTGCAACATATAGTGGCCCTATGTACAATAGTCCTGAAACCTGCTCTATCTTGTGCCAACTTTACTGTCTCTGACACACCTACCTTCATTTCCCTAGTTACTCAATCAATCCATCTCATCAATGGTCTTCCTCTCTTTCTCTGTCACTCCACCCTTCCAAGCATGACATCATTCTCCAAAGACTGGTCCATCCTTGTAACATATCCAAACTATGTCAGACGAAGCCTCAGAATCCTTGCTTCCAAGGAGCAATCTGGTTTCAGCCTCTCCTAGATGAACCTGTTTGTTCTTCTAGCAGTCCATGATATATTTAGTACTCTTCTCCAGCACCACATTTCAAAGGCATCAATTCTCTATCATCCCTAGTCATTGTCCAGCTCTCTGATACATGTCAAACAATTGCAAACACTTTGGCCTGGATCAGGCACACCTTAGTCTCCAGACTGACATCGTTGCTCTTCTTTTGTATATTGGCGGGTGGATTTTTAAACCACTGACCTTTTGGCTAGCAGGAAGGCACTTAATCACCGTGTCATTTCTTTTGGGCTGAGTCAAAACTCATTGCTGTTGAGGTGAACTGACTCATAGCTGACATTTTGTTGGGTTTCTGAGGCTATAAATTCCACAGAAGCAGATTAGTTATCTTCTGGAGAAGAGTCCATCTTTACTGGAGAGGTCTCTGACAGCAGACTTTCCCAGTGCAATTCATCTTTTGATTTCTTGACTACTGGTACCAAGAGAGTTGATTGTGGAACCAAGCAAACGAAAAATGTTAACAATCTCAATCTCTTTATCATCTATTATAAAGCTAACTATCAGCCCAGTGGTGAGAATCTTTGTTTTCTTGATGTTGAGCTTCAATCCATATTGATGGCTGCAGTCCTTGACCCTCCACAGCAAGCGCTTCAGGTCCTCCTCAGTTTCAGCAAGCCAGGGTTGTGTCATCTGCATAGCGCAGGTTGTTGGTGAATCTTCCTCCAATCCTGATGCCAC